GAATTCATTTTGCACGAGAGTATGTCTGCAAGATGCTATGAGCTCCCCTGCTCCATTTCTGTCCCTTAGAAATACCCTACAGCAAACAGGGATCCCCAGGCAGAGTGCTGCATCTCTCATTTCAAAAACTGCCTCTTGAAATCTTTCATTTTTCAATTTTCTTTGTAACTATATATTATCAGATGTATTTGATGCCTAATTTAACTTGATTTCCACATGTTATTATGCTTATGAAATGTCTTTGTCATTCAGTGAAGCAGACGCAACCACAAAATCTTGCTCTTCAGCTTAATTTCCAACTACTTTTCACATTTATATTTCTAAATCCAGGCCAGCCTTCTAGACATACTTAATAATTTACTATTTTCAATGCCCATTGCCCTTATCCAAAAGAGGGTAACGTGGGAGCCCTGCAAGAGAAAAGACTGAAAAGAGACAAGAATAAGAGCAAGAGCAGGTAAATTTTTATGTTGTCAGATATTTAAGTAAAGAAAGGTAAGTTCCAGAAGGAGGGATGAATTTAGACCATAAGTAGTGTGCATTCACTGTGATGAAGTAGTGTGGGGTGGAGGCCATTTCCCAGAAACTGATAACCAGAACGAGCTGACCAAGGGATGTGTTGGCAGCACACTAGTAGCCACCTGGACAGTGCTTCAGCCCCTTCCATGTCCGTGCTTATTATTATTATAGTTGTACCAAGAGAATCCAAACTAGATGTGGAAGGTGTATATACCAGCAGAGCTCAGTTGGCCCTTCTCTAACAGATGAGTTGGATGTCCTTCTGTATTTCAATTTCATTTACACTCACAGGAAGGTTGCAGTGTTCATTAATAGCTTAAAATCCAGGAATCCAATCAAAGTTAACCCTCTAGGTTCCTTTAAAAGACGGTGGATGAAAATAGGTATGTTCAGACAGTAGTTCACCCCCTGACTGCTCTGTACATAACTCAATTATTCTTAGCAATCTCAAGTGGCACTGGACAATTAAATGTGGGCAACTGAAGTGTGTCCCATGAAGGACAAGCTGACTGGCCCCTGCTCTCCATTGAAAAGTACTGACTGGATCTCCTGTGACAATCTGAAAGCTTAGCTACCTCACGTGCATATGAGAGCCTTCTCCTGGAGTTGAATCCTACTCGAACTGTGGCAGTGACTGTGTTGCCATTGATCATGTTCTTGCAGAACATACGTATCAAGGATGCAAGGCAAAATCAAATGAAGATATGCCTACATTGCAGCTTTCTGGTAAAAAGATCAAAGCTTGCCATCATGCATAAATAAGGTTAGTCCATGCCCATCCTCTACCTAGCAAGATTTACAGCAGTGTAGGTGCAATGATTCATCGCTATTATCCAACATGAATTCATGTGCTCTCTTGTTTAATCTGTGCTTCTGCATCTCTATTGTTGTGCTTGCACAAATGAGGTTGAAGCTAGCTGTGGCCCTGCTGCATAGGACATGCTTACATCTCTGAATCCTGGTGGTATGAATCAAGGAGGTCTGAAGTCCCCACATTCTGCTGAAGAACCAAGCCACAATTCAAATACGGTAACTTGTTTCTTCTGCTCAGGTCAGACAGAGAGCTTGTCCTGCTGTGAAGTACTGGCCAAGAGGAGACAACTGTCATTGGCCTACTAGTATGGTGTGCTTGAAACCAGCATATGAACTCCATTATCTGCCTGCTGGGTACTGGACGCTGAATTTACAGGGGATGAACTTTAGTCACTGCCAACAAAACACAGAATATGTGTTTGAACTGTAAAATGTGATTGAACTCTGAGAAATGAAGATGAAAAAAAACCATCTTGAGCAGCCCTGCTGTTCAGGGAAGTAAAAGTAGAGAATGGAGTGGGAGATATATATAAACGGAGACTCCAATATATTCATTTCAAAATAGCCTTATGGAGTGAATGAAAAATGAAACTGGGAAATGAACTGTAAACAAAATGAGTTTACATGAAACCGAACAAAACGGAGAAGTTAGACTCAGTATCTTTATCTTGTGCCTTCAGGATAAAAAAAAGTGGGCCTTGAAAAGGTTATATATCTCATGAAATACCTCTGCTGAGCTTCTAATGGTTGTGCTGCAGGTAGATGACATTGCCTATCAAAGCATAAATAATGTTCTTGCTTTCATGTGTAAAGAGGAACTGCAAAGCCTGTGAGTGGGTTTCCCCAAAGCAGGCTCACCCTGGAAAAACACCTAGTCAAGGATGGGAGCCTATGATTAATCTGCTTCAGTTAGGCTATTGATCTGTTAGGCTTTTAACATATACACAAGTCCTATGGGTGCACCTTAGTGCTTAAATGAAAATAAAGCATGATGAACACAAAACCAAAAAAAAATTGTTTTCCAAGCCCTGTATGCTGGAATCATAGCGAGATTGCTCCTTGGAAAGGTGTGGAATAAATCAGCCAGCCATGTTTCCTCTCACTCTGAAAATATCCTAGGGCTTGCAATTTTCTCAGGTAAGTTCAGTGCTTTCAGAAAATACTACACTGACTGCCCTGAAAAATTCTTTGTTTCCAAAGAGCAAAGGTGTGCCCAATAGAAAGATTATTTTTCTGCAATTTCATGTCAATAGACTGTAAGATGTTTTCTGGAAAATAGTATTTTCCATGTGAGGAACTCAGTTCCTGTGTTAAATTCTTGTTAACAGAACCAAGGGACATCCTCCTGTCTTCTACAGATGCTCCTCAGTGCAAAGTAACAGCTGCACTTTTTGCTGCAGGGCACCCAGGTGCTCTGTGGTTAAGACAAGGTGTGTGCATGGCTGTGTTTGTGCTATGCTGGCAGCTTTCCCTGCAAAACCTGATTGCACTACAGCAGCTACCAACACCTTAGCACAGCCTTGTCTTTATCCTCTCCATATTCCCTGATGACACCAAATCCCACAGGCTGTATGTGTTCTGTCCACAACTCTTGTTATAATTCTGCTCTGTTATTTCCTTGCTATTTGCTCATGCTCGCAACTGTCCTGTTTGGGTCAAGTCACTCCAATGGAGCACCAGACTAGAAAGTATTACAAAACTATGGCTGAGTACTTGGAACTCCAGATGGTCATTTACCTGTGATATTCCACGTCCCTATTCATTTGACAGCAAAACAGTGCCAAGTAAGATGGAGCAGCATTTCTCTCATAGGACACAATTGTGTAGGACTACTGTGATGCGTTTCAGCTGTGGTGATGGTGACAGTGGGTCACCTGAGCTGGTGCAGATTTTCAGGAACACAGCAGGCAGGCTCTTGTTTGTCACTGGTTAAAATGCATAGCTAATGGTGGTGACTATGTTGAAAAATAGTGTTTTGTAGCTGAGAATTTGTCCTACTAAACAGTGTTATTGTGCTCTTTGTATCTGTTGTAGTTTCCATGGAAATAAATAGGAGGCATTACTTTTGGAGCATAGTTTAATTGATTCAAACCATTCCCATAATTTCTATAATGGTTTTTAATTGTACAATTAGAGTAGAGACATATAATCGCATAATTAGGCTATGTAATTACAATATGTAATAATATTGTAGCGTTGTTATACACATCCTTTTTAAGCAGGAAAAAAGCAAGTGTACTATGCTGAAACCATAAGTTGTGAGCTCCAGAGTGCCTGTATGTATTTCCTTATGTATATCCCAGTTTTCATTGTGCGATCAAAGAAGTTTGAACATGGAGGATAAGACTGTTGGTGAGGTACTGAGCATTTTTGGAAATTGGCGCTATTAAATTGTGTGGTACTATTTTGGAATGGTTGTGTTCATGTAGGGCATGTCTACAGACAAATGCTGAATAAAGATGTGATTATAAAGCATGCTTAAATCCTGCATGTGTTGAATGGATAATAATGTCCTTATGATGTGGCTGAACTCTCTGCTTCTTTGAGTGGAATTTAATGCTGACTTGATCCTGCAATCTTTAGTTCAATGAAGAAGCTCCCAGTGGCTTCAGCAGGGTAGGCTTGCATTCCCTGCCAGGCTGTTCCCCCTCCGTGAAGGACTTCAAGGCTCCTTCTGCCCACAGAAAATCGATGTCTTATTCTGCATCCAGCTCTGCCTCTGACCTGGTAAAGTCAAGTGTAGTTTCTGGTGTAGAATGCTTGAATTCAGGCACCTTTCTGAGACAGGACAGTATGTCTCAGAAAGAAGGAATTATTTCTCTCAAGTTATGTCAGCTCCCAAGTGGATCAGACAGTCTGTTCCATAATGCTGAAATGTGCTTTACAACTCACAAAATTAAACTAAAATGGGATTAATAGTGTAATTACTGACTTGTTTTGAAGAGTTCAAGTGAATGCCTCAAACATTCATCCACATTTCATTTATTTTAAGGAAAGGGTGGTAAATCCCCAAGCCAGACAGATGCTATTTGTTTGCATATGAGACATTTTTCACCCCCCAGCTGTGGAAATTGCATCATAACTGTCACTGTTTTTGTACAGAATTAATGAACAGTTTGCAAAATGTATCATGACCTTGCTAGCTGATGGATGTGATAATAAAGCCTTAGATTTAGCAGAAGGATGACCTAGTTTCATTCACACATTGGCACTGCAGCTTTCAATGCAAGCAGGTGCAAATGCTGGAAGGGGTTTGTGCAGCTACCTGGATGGAAGTCTGAAGTGCCTCATCTGAAATAGCACAGCTGGGTAATACCTCCTTTGCAATTTGTAATCACAGAATCAGTGACTATTGCCAGTTCTAAGGGACCCAGTGGGATCATTGAATCCAGCTCCTGGCTCTGCACAGAACCGCCCAAAATTCAACCCCTATGTCTGAGAGCACTGCTCAAACGCTCCTTGAACTCCAGCAGCTCCGCGCCGTGCCCACAGCCCTGGGCAGCCCGTTCCGCGCCCACCGCCCCCTGGTGCAGAGCCTTTCCCGAGCCCCTTTTCCCGCCCCTCCCCTGACGCAGCTCCATGCCGTTCCCTCGGGCCCTGCCGCTGTCACACAGAGCAGAGCTCAGCGCTGCCCCTCCGCTCCCTGTGAGGAGCTGCAGCCGCCATCAGGCCTCCCCTCGGCTCCTCTGCTCTGGGCTGAGCAAACACAGGGAGCTCAGCCGCTCCTCACACCTTGCCCTCAGAGCCTTCCCCACCTTCACATCCCTCCTTTGGACGCTGTCTAATAGCTTCATGCCCTTCTGATGCTGTGGCACCCACACTGCACCCAGTGCAGGAGGTGAGGCTGCACAGCACAGAGCAGAGCAGGACAAGGCCTCCCCTCACCTTCTGGCAGTGCTGGGCTGCTGTACCCCAGGGTAGAGTTGGCTGTTTGGGCTGACAGGACACATGTTGGCTCAGATTTAAGTGGCTGCTGATCAGGCAGCGTTCACTTCAGGATGTGCCAAAGTGTCTCACACACTTAAATTATATTATGCTCCCAGTCAACATGCAGCTGTGATGATCTAAGAGCTTATTGCTACCAAGAGGAGACTTTGCTCTCCCTTCCTCCTCTCCTCTCCAAATATGTAGACCACGTGTTGTCATCTCAATCTGGGTGTTGCTGGAGATCGTGGAGCTCTCTGTGAGCTAACATAACCAGTACATATTCATTTATTCTGGTCTGTGAGCTTGAATGTGTAGTACCACAGCTTCAAACCATGAAGACTGGGCTTGAATCAAGGGACAGAGGTGAGGCGAACAACAGAATTACCTTCATTTGGTACTAATGAGCTGTTAGAACAGCTCCAATACAATGTTCATCATTAATAAGACCATCCAGGATAGCATCTAAAGTACCTTACTGTGCCACAACAAATTCATTACTAATGGAGACTATATATTTTAACAGAGACTAAAAGTGTGTATACAGAAGATAAATAGACTTATGGTCTATTATCCTTGTTTAGTTCTCTTACCAGAGTAAGATTTTACTTCTGCATTGCTGCTGTGTTAGGAAAAAGCAGCTTCTCCTCTCATCAAAACAGAAATAATTTTGGTTTAGATTAAAAGCCATACTTCCTTGAATTGAAAACGATTGCTTTCAAACTATTCATATTTTCTTATCACTAAAGAAAATATAGGTGGACTTATACATATTATAACAGTCTCTGAAAACCTGAATTTTTGAGTTTTCCTAAAATGCTAGCCATGAAGTCATCCTGCAATGAAATCCAAAAAATTCAAAGGTGAATACACTTGGATGGAACTCCATTACTGACAGACACATCTGTCCAACAATGGCAGGTGATAATGACCAGGGGATGGAGGCAACTCCTGATGGATGGGGCAGTGCCTTGTCGGGAGTACACTTGCACTGTGCCCATCATCCCCTTCATCATGACACTCCAGTGATCACAGCATGACCTATATGCTGAAGCAGAACTGAGACAGTGGGGAAACCTCTGAGTGAATGTGTTATTCAGTGAATTTAGATCCCTGCTGCTGCTTCTGCTATTCTGATCTGCTCCGTAATTTGCTTGCTATTCCTATTTGTTTTGAGAAGATGCCTCCTAACTTCATGTGGCATAAAGGTTTTTTTTCCTTCTACATCAAACATCGGAAACTTCCAGAGAAAAGAGAAAAATACAAAACTTTGCATCTAATAAGGTGAAACCACACAGATAAAACCTCTGCACAAACAGATTCTTGCAACCTTTTTTTTCTTTTCTTTTCTTTTTTTTTTGGCTGGACTTTCTTGAAGTATGCTGTGAGTGAGCTGATAGCTGACATGAATGTTTGTAACAAACAAAGACTGAGCTATCAGAGTGACTGCACAAATTTTACTTGTATACATCTTGGTGAACACTTCTTGCTGCAGTTCTCAAGCAGCTCAGCCAGAAGCATTGCGACAGCAGCTGAAGTTTCACAACACGCACAGTCCTGCTGATGCTGCTGATCAATGAGATGCAGAGCTTTTTTTTTCCCCAGTACAGCACAGATTGGGGGGTAGCTGCTTGCATAAGTGAAAAATCAAAAGTATGAAGCAGACTAAAGAACAGAGTCTGGCACCTTGACTAATACAGCACTTCCTTTCAACTTTCTCAATTTGACAGACTTTTCATGAGAGTTATTTTTAACAAATTGTTTTTTATGGTAATATGCACTTTTATCATATCTTCCTCATGAGGAACTCCAACTGTCTCAAAGCATTAATTGAAAAATCCTTGCAGAAGACATTAGAGGCAAGCAGAGTGTGCCAAAGCCTATGCAGGACAGATGGGGAAACGGGCACAACACAGGTATGTGCTATGTCCAAAGTCATATGAAATAAAAAATAGTCTCTCTTCTCCCCAGTCCTTTGTTCTGGCTTCAAGGTGAGGGATGCTTCCAGCCTCCTCTCTTCTGCCTTTGGAGTGGATTTGAGGAAAATCATAGTAATATGCTGTCTTTGTTTTGAGCACAGGCAATGGTAGTTATGCCACCACTGGATTGCTTCTCCCTTTCCTGAATCCAATGATATTTCTTTGCAGACAGCGAGGCAAGATCTTTCTGGAGCAGAGTGTCAGCAGGGACACAGGGTTTTCTGTGTCACACAAGCGGACACAGCCCAGGGGACCCCGTAGAAATGCTTTCCTCTGAATGGGCAGGCAAGCCTGCAAAAGAAAAGGCTAGCAGGTTGAAGAAGGTGATCCTCCCCCTCTGCTCTTCTCTGGTGAGGTCATATTTAGACTATTGTGTCCATATCTGGGCTCCCAAGTTCAAAAAAGACAGGGATCTCCTAGAAAGAGTCCAGCATAGGGCCACAAAACTGATTAAGGGCTTGAAGCATCTCCCGTATGAAGAAAGGCTGAGTTACCCAGGTGTGTTAATCCTGGGGAAAAGAGGACTGAGTGGGGATCTGATCAGTGTTTATAAATATTTAAAGGGAGGTGGGAGGCAAATGGATGAGGCCAAGCTCTTCTCGGTGGTCTGTAGCGATAGGACAAGGAGTAATGGTCTAAAACTTGAACATTGGTAGTTCTGTACTAACATGTGTAAGAACTTCTTTACAGTAAGGATCATGGAGCACTGCAATACTGTTGCCCAGACAGGTTGTGGAGTAGCCTTCTATGAAAATATTCATAACCCGTTTGGATGCTTACCTGTGTGACCTGCTGTAGGGTGCCTGCTTTAGCAGGGGAAGTTGGGCTCAGTGATCTCTTGAGGTCTCTTTCAACCCCTACCATTATGTGATTCTGTGAAATCCTGCAGGTCAGCAGGGCTCTGACTGCACTGCAGTAATGCACTAATGCAGTTGTGTGGCTGCAAAGACCTGAGCCGTGTATCTGTGGGTGGTTGTGACTTAAGGGACCTATGCACCATCCTCTGGATATACACACAAAAAATGCTGGAAGCAGCATCTCAGTAACAATTAGAGGAGGGAAAAAACACTCAGGAGTTGAAATGTTGGAACCAGGGCACATTCAGGCATGCCTTGCAAGTTCAGTGCTGTACTGAAGAGCCTCACTGGAATAGTTGCTCACTGCCTCAATCCCTGGACCAAGCATGGACCTACATGGGGCAGTGTTTCCAAATTCTCTACCCACAGTGCTACTGGGTCCTTCCCTCCCAGGCTTGGGGACACATGTAGGAAGGGAATACCCTACCACAAGCTAAGATTAGACACATCCAACACACTCCTTAAACTGTCTCAGCATGTAAAATAATTAAATTAAGGTTTTTTTATTCATTGGGTAGCAGTAACTTTGCATTCAACCCATCTTTTTTTTGATACTTTGAGCTGGGGGTTGTAATCAGACTGAAAGTCAGCTGAAGAGACGATAATGGGTTTTTTATTTCAGGAGGAGGAAACAGTCCTCATGTTTTCAGTGGGCACGTTAAAGCAAGGATGACTGGACTTGATGCTGGCCTTGCTTACACTGCTGCAGAGGCTACAGTAACAGCAGGAATTGGATGATGGTGATTTGTCTCAGACATTTTTGCCCCATGCTGTGTATGCAAAGTGCTGGGCATGGGCTTGGTGTCAAAGGTGGCCAAATTCTGGGCAGAGCAGCTAGGCACAGCACAGCCCTAAAGCCCCAGAGCAGAGTTGCTTGGCTGAATGTTAATGGTACTTGCCTTCCTCCACTTTTCCTTGATTATAACAAGAAAGAATGCTACATCCTCAGAATGCTGAATTTTCTAGACAAGCTCTTCTCTATCTTTCTCTTTAAAAGGTAATTGTAGCAAAGTGCTGATTGATGGGGCTTGTGAATACAGCTTTTTCTTATCTAAAAACCAGTTGTACTGTGGGAGCCACTTGCCTAGTGTTCATTAGAAAGAGTTAATATCCATTTTCTGGAAGATTGAAGAAGTTCCCCAGGCACAACCCATGGCCCATTGAGTTTGTCAGCTGCAGTAAACATCATGACTTCAATCAGTATTGTAGACTTTGTCTCTTAAAATCTGTCGCATAAGCTGTGGTAGCATTTGGCACATTCAAAATTTAATCTGCAGATGAGAATCGATTGTTTTGTATGCATCGACCTTCAGAAAAGTTTCTTACAGTGGCTGCTGCAATGATAGTATCTCCTAGGAAGATTATCATCTGTGAAGGCAGGTAGCTTGGTTCTACCTTGTTTATCTCCAGATGAACAAGGAATCTCTGAGGCACAGCCTGAGATCTTATCATCCAGAACTTAACAGGCAGCTCTGGCTCCCTGGCACGTCTTTGGACACACAAGTTAAGCTTGTAGCAAAAGGTAATGGCCCTGCCTGTGTTGCAGATATTTTAAAATATAACTGTTATGTAAATAACCAATTTTTCAGTTCGATGGCTGAAGCAAGCAGTAGAAAAAACAGTTTGGTGCTGAATCAAAACAGATTTTTTACAGATTCTTTTGAAAAGTGATATCCCCATTTCTTCCTATGGCATTGTTTTCTTTAAAGTTAATTCAGAATATTTCATGAGCTACTTTTTGAATTATTTAAATGCTTGAACAGACTTTTAATTTAGCTTTAAATGAACCCAATGTTACAAAAGCAGTACAATGGACCAATGGAGTCTGACTTTCAATTAGTAGCATGTATCCTCCTCCTGTATGTCCTGAGTACAATCCAACTTCTTTGTCATGGCCTGTTAACAGTTCCATGGCAACACTGATTCCACTAACATCCATCTCTCGATGATAGCTGTCTTTCTTTCTTCTTTACCAGCACTTACAACTGCCCTTGGATTCCCAAAAGTTTCTATGCTCCCATGCTTCCCAATGTCCCAGATGTCCCCTATGGCCTCTCTCCCACAAATCCCTAGGTTTCATTACACATTCCCTACCTTTTTATGTATGCAAATACATACAGATACATATATGTACATACATATAGACACTTCCAACATTTTTCATATGTTCTGCCTAACTTGATTTAGCATAAGAGCCAATAATGAAACAGCAGGCAGTGCAGTATATTTGAAATGAGATTTGTGCTGACTCAGCCAGCCAAGTGCTATAAGGCGCTGAATCTCCTGGCTTTCCCTTAGTGGGATCACTCATTAATGCTCTCTCTTTTATCCAGCCATTGATCTTCAGAACACTTCTGGGAGTTGAATGTTTTTAAGATGTTAAGCTTTTGTCAAGTTTTGTTGAAATTGCACGATGGGTTTAAAAGTTATTAGGGAAGAGGATTACTAACCAGGTGGGAAGATGATTACTAACCAGGTGGGAAGATAAGCAACGTAATTCCATATGGAAATTTTTTCTGATGGAAAAATGTGCTTTAAGATATGAAAATGAAATGAGCTAGCATAAAAAAATCCAATTAAGGCAAAGCATTACATTCAACATCCATCCGTTATAAAGCTTTGTTTCTTGAAAACTGCATTTAACTAGCAGTTTGTTCAGAAAGAGTTCCATGCTGGGGTTCCTCTTGGTTTGAGATCCAGCTGGTATCCAGTGTGCTACAAGGAATCAATGAGATGCTGAATTAAAATCAGAATTCTGAATTTGTTAATTGTCTTCAGAATAAGATGTTTAAGAAGTTCTACTTCCCTGAGGACAGGAAAATATAATGATCAGAAATTTCATCCTTGCTACCAACTTTGAAAATGCGTGAATTAAACCCCAGAAACTGGACATACTGAAAAACTGAATAGACAACCACAAATTCTTCACTTTTCTTAGTTAAATGTGTGGCACAGTGGGCAAGCACACGTCCTGCCGCTGCGGTGCCTTGGCTGGTTTACCTGCCATTGTCTTTTTACAAGCAACAATAAAGGAGCCGTGATATAAGGATGAGAGGAGGACCAGCCTTTTACTGCTATAAGAAATTTCTAAAGCACAAATTATTTCTTTAAACATGAATGCAAGTCAATTGTAATTGAATTACTCAGATGGGAGAGTAGACCATTGAAGGAGGACTGTTTTATCTTAAATATCTCATTATGTTCATTCGGAACTGGGCACTAAACTGTCACTAGAAAATGGCAGACAAAGTAACATCATAATCCCTAGAGACTAAGTTTCTTGGAAACCTTAAAGAAAGAAGTGTCAAATATAGGTTAATTCACCTAATTCAATAGATTTCAGATGCTTAGATGGAATGGAAATGCAGAGACTGCTGTGCTTTCCAAGGCAGATCCAAGCTATTGAAAGTTAACCTTTGGCTCTACTGCATAGCACTGCTGAAATGCATCAGTTGTCTCCTAATGTATTCACACTGCTCCAACCTTCATCACACACCCAATCTACAAGGACAGTCTTGTCAGGAACAAGCACTTATTGTTCTTCAGAGGAGACCTCGAGGTGATTTTCTTTTTGGGTGTATGATATCCCACACTGACAACCCAATTTTCTGAGAGTTGAATGACATGTCTAGATGAATTCTGGGAGCTTATTAGCTATGTAAGGTGAGGAGTCTAAAGAATCCCAAACATATTTACCTTTGGATATGTAGATATGTTCTGTATTAATCTCTGAGTCCTTCTAGTGAGATTGTTTGTTAATACAGGGTTAAGATCTATATTTTTCTGTTATTGGTATCTATCTCCTATCAGCTGAGCAGAACCCAATGCTTTTTTAACATATTTTAGACATCAGTCACTCTCTGAATTCAATTTTTTTGGTCATTTTTCATTAAATAAATGCATATAGAACACAAAACTGATAATTTAGAAATGAAAAGTATCAATGTTTCAAACTGTTAAACTGGCATGTTCACAAATTCGATGGCATGATACATTAACTAGACTTGACAAGTGATGAATTACTGCGTTCTTTCTCTGTTGTTTAAACAAGAATTGGTTGGTGCAGAGTGCTTTGATGTGAGAGATAGCTATAACAGCCCATGTATACTTATAGCGTGATAACATTCACCTCCTCTTCCCAAGCAGGTTAAGCATGACAATACTCTTACAATACTACTGTTGGAGTTTTGATTGTAATACTAGATCTACACTAACAAAATATGCTAAAAAATCCCTTTCCTTCTTTTTTATTTTGTCTTCTAGAATGATGATATAATCTTTTTCCCCCTGTAACGAGGGAGATATAAATTGAGAAAATACCTAGTCCTGTGATTATGAAAGTTGAAGGTCTGAAATAGAAGAGAAAGAAAGAAATTTTTTAAGCAAAAGGGATACAAATGTGTGCTGTATGAAAGCAGGGGAAGAAAGTGAAACAAGGTTGAAGAGAGGCACGGAGGCACAGCCTGGGAAATCTGATGGCAAGTGAAAATGGAACAAAAAAGATTATTTATTATAAATGCCTATTATAAATGCCTTTATCTCTCTGCAACTTTTTGAAGAGAACTTTAATTTATGTCTGAAAATCACTATAGGTCTATTCAAACAGAGGCTGATTGCTGTAACCTCAATACTGTGCTGAGCTTTAAAGAATACTCTGAATTATTATTGCACAAATGTGTTACAGGTTTAGCACGTGCTGGACAGTGCTGGACTAACCTGCCTGGTTTTAGGTAAAGATTCAAAGTACAAGAAAAAGAATCTAAGTAGCATATAGTGTGTCATAGTGAGTATGGATGTCCAACCAGCAAGACCACTTTCCATGACTACATGAAGAGGGTGATGCCTTGGTAATTTGTTTGTGATCATAAGGTTGGATCTGATACACAAATCTTTCTGAAATTTGACATCCAATCAATTTATGCCAACATCTACAGTACCTAGCAGCTATGCAACATTTTTGTATCTAAATTGGTGTCTGAGTACAACTTCACCATATCTTACCTGTATGAGAACTGGTTGATTGATGAGCAGATGCAGTCTCAAATGCCAGCTGCTCACTGGAGTATAAGTGATTGATCAGCGTGTGAACCTGCTGATCTTCTGGCATTATTGTAAACATACAACTTCTAATCATTTCACAGAGCTTTTTTACAGATTTATTTAAGATAAGCTTGTCAGCCCTCTTTAGGAAAATAGTTGGGCTGATAGTTATATTAGGAAGATTTATTGTACTTCATAACATGTCATCTTTGCCCATAATGGATAGGAATTAACATCTACAGAGCAGCAGGGAGAATACTTATAAAACTGAGGCAGAACATTAGAAGGTAGTTTTGCTCTTTTGATAGCTACTGCCTTGGCTTGGAAGTGCTGAGGCCACATGCCAGTGTATTCTCAGAGGATTTCAGCTATCATTTTAAATTCAACAATTAGATGCTGCAGGCTAGTTCCAAAAGGGCACAGAAATGCAGCCTTAATGCTGATACAATTTTTTGTTTTCTCAAGGAAAGTTTCTCCTTAACCATTTAGCATTACTTCTTTCCATTTGCCAAATCCAGCACTTCCATCAAGGATACAAGGATAAAAGTACAACGCTTTCACACCTTGCCAGCATGGCTTCTGTACTCAGTTTCTGATTAACTCTTTGATAATGTTTTCAACTCTCTCATGTTTGAGACACATTGACTGATTTCTAATACACTTCCACTTTCTCTAGTAGACCAATATTTGTCTCTGTAGGATACTGATGTCAGAAGTTTATTGCTTTATCACAGTTCTATTTCAAGGGGTCACCCAGTTGTTATTGTTGGAGTGTTATGACAGTTCTTCAAAGGAGATGTGGAACTATTTGATACATGTCAAACATTGAAACACCCAAAAAAATGTTGTTTGAAACTCTGTATTCAAGGATTAATTTAAGTGAGATTCATGAACATTTAAAATGTGTATGAGTTACTCTAATGGATTCATTTTACTCCCACCATCTAAAACTCTTATTGATTTACCAGGATGAAGGAAATCACTGCATAATCACATCCAACATGCCCAGTGGAAAAGCTCTGAGATTTTGTTTCAATATTCTACTTAAGTATAAAAATAAAATGTAGTAAACATTTTGTTTAAAATGAGAACATTTTAGCTGTGCCAATCTAATTTGGATTCAGAATTTGCTTTCTTTGAAGTAACCATTAAACAATTGAACTATTCCATTCTGCACTGTTTCCAGATGCACTCATTTTAGCAGGCATTTACATAACACTACTATTTTTCTCAATACTTCTCCAATATACGATTTTCTTTCACATATGATATTATGGTATAAATGTAAAAGCATGCAGCTAAATTATTGCACCTGTGTTCAGGAAGCAAAATATTATATATTTTTACACTTCTTTGTTGGCAGCAATGCCAGCGGGTTTGCTCAGTGTTTCAAGATGTTTGTCTACCTATTAGACACCACAAGTGGGAATTCAGTGTCTTCAGCTGTACCAGACAGTAGGGACTACTCATGCTGTAAAGATTCACCTTTATAGACTGTCCATGTGGAGTGACAGCTTATGAAAGCCTTGGAAGATTGAGGAAGGAAAACAAAGAAAGACACAGGGATACACAGTGCTCTGACACTCTTACTTTAGACAGCAGGCTTATGTTGGGATGATTTTTTAATTGAATTCAGTATACATGTATGAAATAAAGAAGTCAGCACCTGGTCTCCTTTTCTTCATATCTTTTCCTTTTCTGGGAGGGGAGAAGTAAGGAAGGAGAGAAATTTACAACACCTAGTTTTTCTCCAGACTACTGGGAGCCAGTTCCAACATCCATTTTATCTCTCTCATTTGCTATGATGAAGAGGATCAAAGAAGTCTTTATTTGTGTCAGCAAATGGCTCATTCTGAAGGCATGCCCTGATGCAGAATGATACACCATGGAGCAAGAAACATGGCCACACACTGACAAAGACCATTTGGAAAGTCAGTTTAACACGAGCTGGAGTGGTGCTGGCAGATAGAAGGGCTACCAAGCATCTTGGCTGCAGAAGAGGAAACTGGGCAAAGTAGAGGTGTAGTTTCTTTTCTGGGTATGGCAGAGTTAAAACCACTTCTGGGAGAGTATTCAGCTCTGATTCTGCAGTTTAAGCAACGCTGATAAGGGGGATTTGGACTATCCTACAGCTTTTGTGATATCAGAGAGTAGTTGAAGTAGTTGAAATGCTGAACTTTTCAGTCTCTATCAGGCAGAGTTATACAAAGAGTAGGAAGGTTTGGTTCCAGTGTGCAGGTAGTAGACATGAACAATTCATTCAACCTGGAGAGAGTTCACTGGGAATGCAAGGGCAGGACTGAAGGAAATGGCACACACAGCACAGAGCAATGGTCTGTCTTGTGTCAAATGCTGCCACCTAAAAGGATGTAAGTACTTTGAGATGAATGACTGTGCAACTCATGCCAGCTCAGCTCATTATGATCCTGAAAATGATTAGATTTACAAAACTGTGAAAGTGGTTTGTAAAATCAAACATGCAGTTGTACTGCAAATACATTTAGTCAAATAGGACTGCAAGGAAAACCCTGTTTTCAGTTTTATCATGTCTATAAAGCATCTTTCAAACTAATGCTCTTAAAGTAAGTGCATGAAAGTATTTCTGACAGCTGGAATGCTTACATATCAAATGCCTGAAAGACAATACTTAATAACATGGGCCGTGTGCAATGAAA